AAGAGTAAGACAGAGAGAGGGAAAGCAAGAGGGGAGACAAGAGGAGCCAGATAGAAAGCAGGAGAGACGCGCCCTGCCTCACGGCAGTGTATCTCTGGCTCACAGACAGTGCACATATCACATTGCACATCCATTTTATTCAGTCAACTCTGGCACCTAGTTAAGTCACAAAGGCATGTAGGCTTCATAACAACGAGGCTAATGATTGGTCAGTTCCAATGTCATCAACGTGAGATGAAACCAGCAATCCGTGAGCCATGGCGACCCTGTGAGTAAAGACGCACTGTCACAGACCAGAAGACCCACCAGTAGTAGTCCTAGTCCAGGGGTATTCAACTCTTACCCTACGAGCTCCGTACCTTTGGGTTTGTCTGATTTTAGTTTCAGCTTTGCTATGGCATAATCCATTATGTGGTGTGAAAGTGTGGCTCCAGACTGAGCCGCATGGGCCCCTCCTCACACAGCAGCCACAGCCCAACTGGACAACACCTGAAACCCTGAGCCAGAGAAACCTCCTCAACTCTCACTGGTCCTAGAGAACTTACTAGTGCTTGAGAGCAACGTTTGACTTCAACTCAGGCGCATCCCAGCCTATCCCAGTCATATGTTCCCATAAAGTAATTTTTAAAAACAGACCAGTTCTGGAGTTTGGTTTAGTGGTGATACCAGGGTTCAATCCCTGAGCCCATCCCTTTAACCCTCCACTTATCTAACCCTCCCGCCATCTCACTTCAACACTGTGTCTATTTAAAAAAATTAAAAAAATAAACTGTGAATATTGAAGGAAAGAATGTGACTAATCAAATTGGATCATGTCCTTATCTAAACCCGGCCGGATGAGGGAGGAATGTAATGTTGCTCTCTGATTCTTGGAAGCGGAATGGGTCACTTAACATAACTAAACTAATGGGTGGCAGCAGACTTGAGGCTATTGACATTGGCAGATAGGGTTAACTTTCTCAGTTATTGTTTTCATTTTCTGTGAGTGGCAAGTTGCAACAAGGGAAATGTCTTTACATGTAGAGAAGAGATCACACAGAGAGAAAAATTACTGGGAGCTGGCCCAACACTCTCTGCAACGGTTCCATATAATGCCCCAAGTGAAGTAATGTGCAATGATTCTCAATCTAAAGAAAGAAACATCAGCTTCTTTCAGTAGGTTAGGTGAACATACTTTACCCTTTCAAAAAGTTAAGCACCAACAAGCCAGTACACAGGCACAAACAGGTCTAGCTAGTAGCTACAGACTAGGTACACCATATGCCAAATTCCAATCCAGATATATTAATTTATCATAGTATGCCATTTAGAAGACTTTTATCCAAAGCGACTTAGAGTCATGCTTGCATACTTTTTATGTATGGATGGTCCCGGTAATTGAACACACTATCCTGGCGCCTTGCCCTACCAACTGAGCTACAGAGGACCACCATTATGTTTTGGATTTGGTCATCAGCTGCTCTGAGCAGACAGTGGGGGTGGCCCCATAGCAGGAGTTTTCTTGGGTATACAGCAGGAGGGGGCGACACCGTGTGCTCGCTAACTAGCAAACTAGACAGTGTCCTTCGCCCCACCGGTGATGGCAGGTGGGAGCAAAGGACACTGTCTACTGGTGTCGCTCCCACTACCTAGCAAGGAGTGCCCACATGCAGGAACGCCCAAAATTGCAGGCTTCAGTTGCCCACTTGGAATGGATGGCTTTTGTCACACCCTTGCCTGCTTCCACTTGGAACGTGCTCGCTTGAGATAGAGTATCTCATGATAAGCTGCAAACCATACTATCTACCAAGAGAGTTTTCATCAATATTCTTCGTAGCTGTCTATTTACCACCACAAACCGATGCTTGCACTAAGACCACACTCAATGAGCTGTATACAGCCATAAGCAAACAAAAATACGCTCATCCAGAGGCGGCGCTCCTAGTGGCCGGGGACTTTAACGCAGGAAAACTTAAATCCGTTTTACCTCATTTCTACCAGCATGTTAAATGTGCAACCAGAGGGAAAAAAAACTCTAACCACCTTTACTCCACACACAGAGACGTGTACAAAGCTCTCCTTTGCCCTCCATTTGGCAAATCTGACCATAATTCTATCCTCCTGATTCCTGCTTACAAGCAAAAACTAAAGCAGGAAGCACCAGTGACTCAGTCAATAAAAAAAAGTGGTCAGGTGAAGCAGATGCTAAGCTACAGGACTGTTTTGCTAGCACAGACTGGAATATGTTACAGGATTTTTCCGATGGCATTGAGGAGTACACCACATCAGTCACTGGCTTCATCAATAAGTGCATTGATGACGTCATCCCCACAGTCACTGTACGTACATACCCCAACCAGAAGCCATGGATTACAGACAACATCCACACTGAGCTAAAGGGTAGAGCTGCCGCTTTCAAGGAGCGGGACTAACCCGGAAGCTTATAAGAAATCCCACTATGCACTCCGACGAACCATCAAACAGGCAAAGCATCAATACAGGACTAAGATCGAATCGTACTACAACGGCGCCGACGCTCGTCGGATGTGGCAGAGCTTGCAAACTATTACAGACTACAAAGGGAAGCACAGCCGCGAGCTGCCCAGTGACACGAGCCTACCAGATGAGCTAAATGACTTCTATGCTCGCTTCGAGGCAAGTGACACTGAAGCATGCATGAGAGCATCAGCTGATCCGGACGACTGCGTGATCACACTCTCCGTAGCCGATGTGAGTAAGACCTTTAAACAGGTCAACATTCACAAGGCCAGATGGATTACCAGGACGTGTACTCCGAGCATGCGCTGGCAAGTGTCTTCACTGACATTTTCAATCTCTCCCTGTCCGAGTCTGTAATACCAACATGTTTCAAGCAGACCACCATAGTCCCTGTGCCCAAGAACACTAAGGTAACCTGCCTAAATGACTACCGACCCGTAGCACTCACGTCTGTAGCCATGAAGTGCTTTGAAAGGCTGGTCATGGCGCACATCAACACCATTATCCCAGAAACCCTAGACCCACTCCAATTTGCATACCGCCCCAACAGATCCACAGATGATGCAATCTCTATTGCGCTCCATACCTGGACAAAAGGAACACCTATGTGAGAATGCTATTCATTGACTACAGCTCAGCGTTCAACACCATAGTGCCCTCAAAGCTCATCACTAAGCTAAGGACCCTGGGACTAAACACCTCCCTCTGCAACTGGATCCTGGACTTCCTGACGGGGCACCCCCAGGTGGTAAGGGTAGGTAACAACACATCCGCCATGCTGGTCCTCAACACGGGGGCCCTTCAGAGGTGCGTGCTCAGTCCTGTCCTGTACTCCCTGTTCACGCATGACTGCATGGCCAGGCACGACTCCAACACCATCATTAAGTTTGCCGATGACACAACAGCGGTAGGCCTGATCACCGACAACGATGAGACAGTCTGTAGGCAGGAGGTCAGAGACCTGGCCGTTTGGTGCCAGGACAACAACCTCTCCCTCAACGTGATCAAGACAAAGGAGATGATTGTGGACTACAGGAAAAAGAAGAGGACCGAGCTCGCCCCCATTCACATCGACGGGGCTGTAGTGGAGCAGGTTGAGAGCTTCAAGTTTCTTGGTGTCCACATCACCAACAAGCTAATATGGTCCAAGCACACCAAGACAGTCGTGAAGAGGGCACAACAAAATCTATTCCCTCTAAGGAGACTGAAAAGATTTGGCATGGGTCCTCAGATCCTCAAAAAGTTATACAGCTGCATCATTGAGCGCATCCTGACTGGTTGCATCACTGCCTGATATGGCAACTGCTCGGCCTCCAACCGCAAGGCACTACACAGGGTAGTGCGTACGGCCCAGTACATCACTGCGGCCAAGATTCCTGCCATCCAGGACCTCTATTTACATTTTACATTTTTAGTCATTTAGCAGACGCTCTTATCCAGAGCGACTTACAGGAGCAATTACGGTTAAGTGCCTTGCTCAAGGGCACATCGACAGATTTTTCACCTAGTCGGCTCGGGGATTAGAACCAGCGACCTTTCGGTTACTGGCACTACGCTCTTAACCACTAAGCTACCTGCCGCCCCATATACCAGGCGGTGTCTATACCATATACCTCTATACCAGGCGGTGTCAGAGGAAGGCCCTAAAAATTGTCAAAGACTCCAGCCATCCTAGTCATAGACTGTTCTCTCTGCTACCGCAAGGCAAGCGATACCGGAGTGCGAAGTCTAGGTCCAAGAGGCTTCTAGACAGCTTCTACCCCCTACTCCCCCTTTTACGCTGCTGCTACTCTCGGTTTATTATCTATGCATAGTCACTTTAACTACATGTACATATTACCTCAACTAACCGGCTCCCCCCACATTGACTCGGTACCAGTAACCCCTGTTTATAGCCTCGCTATTGTTATTTTACTGCTGCTCTTTAATTATTTGTTAGTTTTATTTATTATTTTTTGTAGGTATTCTTTCTTAAAACTGCATTGTTGGTTAAGGGCTTCTAAGTAAGCATTTCACTGTAAGGTCTACACCTGTTGTATTCGGCGCATGTGACAAATACATTTTGATTTCAATCTGCTGTGTAGTGCAAAAAACAACGTGCACGGGGGGCGCAGGACCGAGTTTGGGAAACCCTGAATTAGACCATGTCCATTTCAAGCTTACCTTTCCCAAAAAATAACATATTTCAGAATATTTAGGCAAGTTAGCTGGCGAACTTATTGATCCTGTTCTGTAGTATACCCATCTGAACACAAAAAATGAAGCGATATCGAAATTCACACGCTATCAACACACTACATTGTTGGCCACTTCGTGCACACCTGGTTAACAAACTAGCTAGCCAACTAGCACCAGATGCAACGATGTTTTGTTCGACACGTTAAATCACATTTTCTATTTAGTTAACGTTACGTGAGCTTCCGGATGACAAATACACGGGCCGTATCTCTTCGGCAGCGTTATTCAACGAGTTTAAGAAGCAGCGCTAGCTTCAATGTGTAAATGTGATTTATGTTGGCAAGCTAGCCGTGGTTTACAAATCCCAGACAGGCAACGCCATGATGATCGACAGGCGATGCCAGCCACCCTCCTGTTAAACAAACAAAAAACACACGAAGACAAAAACCAAAGAGGGCACATGTAACTATTTCACTTACCATCACCAATGGCTACTAACCCAACCAGGGCCAGTAACGTGAGTACAATTCGTTTTAAAGCCATTCCTTCAGCATTCCCATCGCATTTGGAGTGTGGTACTGTCAACACCACGGTCAGACCTGACCACAAACCATACAGCCGCCGCCGCCAGCCAGCCAGTTGAAGTGCTACAGGCGGCGTAGTTATTAAAGGGCGGTACGTCGATTTTAAAGGGGAGGGCTTTCTGTGGTTTAGAAAAAGACCCGTTTCAAGGGCTTTCTGTGGTTTAGAAAAAGACCCGTTTCAGACCCTTTGTTGTGGTAGAAGACCCTAGTCTGATAGGGTTGTCTGTGCAGCAGATTACGTTTTATATTCTGACTGCATTGCTTTTAGGCAATGGTTTAAAAAATAATAATTTCGATAGCCTAAAATTCGGGCTATAGGCAGATCAATTACCTGACTGGACTATTTGTCACATAATGTAGGTATATCAGGGCACATACGTTTACATTTCTATTTTGGGCAGAGACGTATTAGAAGATTCAGTGAAAGATCATTTAGTCAGAGAGATTTACATACACTCACTCTCCTAGAAGAAGTGGTCAGCTCCTTCCAGGATGCATTTGGCCAACTGGTACAGTACATTCGGAAAGTATTCAGACCCCTTGACTTTTTTCACATTTTGTTACCTTACAGCCTTAGTCTAAAAGTTAATCAAATTTTTTTCCCCTCATCAATCTACACACAATACCCCATAATGACAAAGCGAAAACAGGTTTTTAGAAATGTTAGCAAATGTATTTACATAAGTATTCAGACCCTTTGCTATGAGACTCGAAATTGAGCTCAGGTGCATACTGTTTCCATTGATCCTCCTTGAGATGTTTCTACAACTTGATTGCAATCCACCTGTGGTAAATTCAATTGATTGGACATGATTTGGAAAGGCACACACCTGTCTATATAACTTCCCACAGTTGACAGTGCATGTCAGAGCAAAAACCAAGCCATGAGGTCGAAGGAATTGTCCGTAGAGCTCAGAGACAGGATTGTGTCGAGGCACAGATCTGTGGAAGGGTACCAAAATATTTCTGCAGCGTTGAAGGTCCCCAAGAACACATTGGCCTCCATCATTCTTAAATGGAAGAAGTTTGGAACCACCAAGACTCTTCCGAGAGATGGCCGCCCAGCCAAACTGAGCAATCGGGGGAGAAGGGCCTAGGTCAGGGAGGTGACCAAGAACCCGATGGTCACTCTGACAGAGCTCCAGAGTTCTTCTGTGGAGATGGGAGAACCTTCCAGAAGTTCAACCATCTTTGCTGCACTCCACCAATCAGGCCTTTATGGTAGAGTGGCCAGATGGAAGCCACTCCTCAGTAAAAGGCACAGGACAGCCCGCTTGGAGTTTGCCAAAAGGCACCTAAAGGACTCTCAGATTCTCTGGTCTGATTAAACCAAGATTGAACTCTTTGGCATGAATGCCAAGCGTCACGTCTGGAGGAAAACTGGCACCATCCCTACGGTGAAACATGATGGTGGCAGCATCATTCTGTGGGGAAGTTTTTCAGCGGCAGGGACTGGGAGACTAGTCAGGATCGAGGGAAAGATGAACGGAGCAAAGTACAGAGCGATCCTTGATGAAAACCTGCTCCAACGCGCTCAGGACCTCAGACTGGGGCAAAGGTTCACCTTCCAACAGGACAATTGACCCTAAGCACACAGCCAAGAAAACGATTCGGGACAAGTCTCTGAATATCCTTGAGAGTCCCAGCCAGAGCCCGGACTTGAACCCGATCGAACATCTCTGGAGAGACCTGAAAATAGCTGTGCAGCGACGCTCCCCATCCAACCTGACAGAGCTTGAGTGGATCTGCAGAGAAGAATGGGAGAAACTCCAAATACAGGTGTGCCAAGCTTGTAGTGTCATACCCAAGAAGACTCGAGGCTGTAATTGCTGCCAAAGGTGCTTCAACAAAGTACTGAGTAAAGGGTTTGAATACTTATGTAAATGTATCCATATTTTGTTATTTTTTTTTTTGCAAAAATATCTAAAACTGTTTTTGTTTTGTCATTATGGTGTACTATGTATAGATTGAGGGGGGAAAAAACAATTTAATCAATTTTAGAATAAGGCTGTAACATACAACAATGCACTGTGTATATATAGCTCTGTCTCGTCCTGTTGTTATTACCTGGCCCTTTGCTAGTACTGTGCTCTCTGCTCTGTCCTGAAGTCTAATAGTGTCTGCTTACCGGTAGTCTCTTTAGACAGCAGCCTTATATAAATTATTGAGCTGTCCCAATTTATCTGCTTATTTCTTCAGTGCACACACACTCACACAAACTGTCTGCTGGTTGAATCCTCCTATCAAAGCCAGCCAAGCGATTTGGAATTGGCCCACAGCGGCTGGATAGGACTACACAGAGAAGAAGACCCCCCTTTCAGCGGAGCTTGGCCTCTGATACTTGAACGACGCTGTCTACAGTGTTAAAAATAACCAGACTGACTCGGGCATGGAGGGAGTATTATCTCTCTGGAGTTTGGTCAACACCAGCCAGACAGATACAGTAACTGAGGCATTGATATTGTAGATAATAATAAAATAATAATAATATGCCATTTAGCAGACGCTTTTATCCAAAGCGACTTACAGTCATGCGTGCATACATTTTTGTGTATGGGTGGTCCCGGGGATCGAAACCCACTACCTTGGCGTTACAAGCGCCGTGCTCTACCAGCTGAGCTACAGAGGACTAGATGAAGGGAAGGACCGACTGGAGTCAATTTCTGTCCACACTTACACACAGTGTTATCAGCTCATGTTGACTGGCAGGAATAGACACTGATTCATTTGGAAAATCTTTGTAGAAACAAATAGAGAGCCTCCAGACATGGTGAAAACATATGGTGGCCGAATTAGAGCTGCCTCTTTCACACCTCACTAACACCACATTTGGGCAGTTTTGTAACTAGGTCAAAAAAGAAAATAGCTGGGAGAGAAATATCTCTCTAACTGTAACACAAACAGATACATGTATGCACACACACACACTGATTGCATGCATGTGTGCGTATGTGTACATATATGTCTGTGTATGCAGGCCTCTGTGTGTGAATGTAAGCGTATCTGTTTGTGCATAAGCAAGAGTTTGTCCCATAGAAATTCCCATTAGATATTTCCATTTCTCTACAAAAGTGCTGTATATGTATTTGCATAAGAGTAAATATAAGTCTGGATGAAATATAATATGATCATAAACCTCTGTAGTCTCTTCCTGAATTGTGATTCACGGGTCTGAACTATCTGCTGATAGCTCCTCAGGGAGTGGCTTCCTGCCCTGGCATAGAACAGACTGCTTATAAAACCTGTCATTCACAATGCCAACTGACTTAAAAATAACATCTGAATAAAAAAAAAACTAAAATGGAAGACAAAGTGAATATGCAAAAATATGCATATTTTCATAATAGTTGTTGATTGTATTGGACTATAGACCTATGCTAAAAAACCTATAGCTGAAGACCACTCCATTGAACCAAAAGGATCATTCAGTGGAGTCGACAATTTAGTGTCTTGTACCCTCTGGTGGACAACTATATAACTGCATATTCTTTTTCCCTACCAGCATAACAGCTTTTAGTAGCCTAACTCATCTTTTAGTAGACTAATTCAAATTACATTTCAGTGTGAGGTGAGCAGTATAGAAACACATTTAAACCAATTTGAGTAGGATTACAAATATGCATCCACAGACAAATGAAATACCCTGTAAACAATGTAATGTTTTTTATTTCCCTTTTAAATATTGTTGAATGGTAGTGATGATAATGATGGTAACTCTGTGCTGAAAGTATTGCAGATATAATTTCAGATAAAAACAAATAAAAATACATGTATATAATCAACATAATAAAATATAGAAGTACTTTAACTTTAAACAGCTTTTACAATAAATCCAATGCCGGTGAAAGGTACATTATTCTATTGTTAGAATAGATACAACTGATTTATTAGCTCTGTGCTTACAATATGATCATGAGTAACAGATTGTAGTAATGGGAGCACTACCAGGGTACTTTATATGGTATAGCTGAAAAGGTTTTCAGGAAATACAAAATAAATCAATATGTATAGATTATGTATAGTGCATCGAAACAAATAAGAAACTAGCAAGACATGAACGGCCGCTTGAAATGATCTCACTGTATGACCACAAGGCCTCAGTGATCCAACGGTGAGACATCCATTCCTAAAGCATCACAGTACAAGGCCCACATCCACCAAACTCTAAGATCTCTCAATCCGGTGGGCCCCTAGGAGAGGACAATGTCCATGTTCTATGGAAGTCCGTAAGTCAGTGAACTCTTCAACAGGAGTAATCAGGCAGTTCCTGGCAAATGGTTATGTCCATAGAAAAATCCAAGTCCAAGTCCTTATATGTCTATTCCTATGCTTCCCATTCCAGATCTCAGCAGATAAATATGACAAAGCCAATACATTACATTTTTCTATTGTATTCCTGATTAAATGATCCAGGCAGTATACTCAAGGTTGGTGGGGGCTTTTATGAAGAAGCACTAGATATATGGGACACAGAGTCTTAAGTAGTAGGAGAGGATATAGATAGTCTCTATACAAGACTATAAGCCCTACTTTTGGTGTGCTGGTTGTAGTCTTATGTTAGGTCTAGACATCCTGCTTGTAGTTTGGTGTTGAGGCCTACAGGTCCATTTTGAGTTTCTCTGTGGGGTAGCCATGGTCCTGGTCTAGCTTGGAGAGAGTCTTTCTGACACGGAGAGCTGTGAGGCGGGCTGGGGGGCTCTGGAACCAACACTCCTTCATTACCTTGGCAATGGAAGCCAGGATCTGTACACACACACACACACAGAGAGAGAGAGAGAGAGAGAGAGAGAGAGAGAGAGAGAGAGAGAGAGAGAGAGAGAGAGAGAGAGAGAGAGAGAGAGAGAGAGAGAGAGAGAGAGAGAGAGAGAGAGAGAGAGAGAGAGAGAGAGAGAGAGAGAGAGAGAGAGAGAGAGAGAGAGAGAGAGAGAGAGAGAGAGAGAGACCATAAGACAAGAGCTGCAAGAGCTTTACAAGTCACCCCAAACTAATGCCTGTGTGTGTTTCTCTCACCGGGTGTGAGTGCAGTCTGTTGTGCAGAATGGGTCTCTGCTGGTCTACACACACCACCTTCTTCATCTCCTCAAAGCTGGGGTCAGAGGGCACCATGTCAAAGAAGGGTGGCCGGTACTCTTCCACTATCCCTGGAACAACACACAATCGCACATTATGAATACATGTTACATATACAGTCAGTACCAGTATGTCTGTGTCTTCATTCCAAGTAAAAGGAGTCAGCCAACATAAGATCTTATGTAATGATGATTGAGGTGGGGAGGGTTTGGTGGGAACACTACAGACATCATGACACTCAGTGACATTGAAATACAATTCTAGATTTCAAGACACAGAAAGGAGAAGACTACATCAAAGATAAGAGTGTTTATCTTCTCTCAGATTATATTCGATTTGGATTGTATACATTGGCTTAATATACATACAGTATACAGTGGGGGAAAAAAGTATTTAGTCAGCCACCAATTGTGCAAGTTCTCCCACTTAAAAAGATGTGACAGGCCTGTAATTTTCATCATAGGTACACGTGAACTATGACAGACAAAATGAGAAAAAAAAATCCAGAAAATCACATTGTAGGATTTTTTATGAATTTATTTGCAAATTATGGTGGAAAATAAGTATTTGGTCACCTACATACAAGCAAGATTTCTGGCTCTCATAGACCTGTAACTTATTCTTTAAGAGGCTCCTCTGTCCTCCACTCGTTACCTGTATTAATGGCACCTGTTTGAACTTGTTATCAGTATAAAAGACACCTGTCCACAACCTCAAACAGTCACACTCCAAACTCCACTATGGCCAAGACCAAAGAGCTGTCAAAGGACACCAGAAACAAAATTGGGCTGGGATGACTGAATCTGCAATAGGTAAGCAGCTTGGTTTGAAGAAATCAACTGTGGGAGCAATTATTAGGAAATGGAAGACATACAAGACCACTGATAATCTCCCTCGATCTGGGTCTCCACGCAAGATCTCACCCCGTGGGGTCAAAATGATCACAAGAACGGTAAGCAAAAATCCCAGAACCACACGGGGGGACCTAGTGAATGACCTGCAGAGAGCTGGGACCAAAGTAACAAAGCCTACCATCAGTAACACACTACGCCGCCAGGGACTCAAATCCTGCAGTGCCAGACGTGTCCCCCTGCTTAAGCCAGTACATGTCCAGGCCCGTCTGAAGTTTGCTAGAGTGCATTTGGATGATCCAGAAGAGGATTGGGAGAATGTCATATGGTCAGATGAAACCAAAATATAACTTTTTGGTAAAAACTCAACTCGTCGTGTTTGGAGGACAAAGAATGCTGAGTTGCATCCAAAGAACACCATACCTACTGTGAAGCATGGGGGTGGAAACATCATGCTTTGGGGCTGTTTTTTCTGCAAAGGGACCAGGACGACTGATCCGTGTAAAGGAAAGAATGAATGGGGCCATGTATCGTGAGATTTTGAGTGAAAACCTCCTTCCATCAGCAAGGGCATTGAAGATGAAACGTGGCTGGGTCTTTCAGCATGACAATGATCCCAAACACACCGCCCGGGCAACGAAGGAGTAGCTTCGTAAGAAGCATTTCAAGGTCCTGGAGTGGCCTAGCCAGTCTCCAGATCTCAACCCCATAGAAAATCTTTGGAGGGAGTTGAAAGTCCGTGTTGCCCAGCGACAGCCCCAAAACATCACTGCTCTAGAGGAGATCTGCATGGAGGAATGGGCCAAAATACCAGCAACAGTGTGTGAAAACCTTGTGAAGACTTACAGAAAACGTTTGACCTGTGTCATTGCCAACAAAGGGTATATAACAAAGTATTGAGAAACTTTTGTTATTGACCAAATACTTATTTTCCACCATAATTTGCAAATAAATTCATTAAAAATCCTACAATGTGATTTTCTGGAAAAAACAATCTCAATTTGTCTGTCATAGTTGACATGTACCTATGATGAAAATTACAGGCCTCTCTCATCTTTTTAAGTGGGAGAACTTGCACAATTGGTGGCTGACTAAATACTTTTTTCCCCCACTGTACATATTTCACTTCATTCAGGACTGAAATAGTACACTGAACTTGAGAATAGGAGTGTTGGGCTATATGTTGGACTAAAAAGAGAGCAGAGAGATACTGAATCCCTGGACAGAGAGTGTATTGTTCTGGGAGGTCTGGCTGTGTGTGCGTGCGACCATGCGCGCCTGTTTGTGTGCGTGCGTGTGCATCTGTGAATGTGTGTGTGCGTGCGACCATGTGTGTGTACGCATGTGTGTTAGAGAGAGGGAGAGCATCTGGACTATGTGAGGTGGGAGAGTGCTGACACTAGATAAGAGTGTTTATAATTACTAGAGGGCTAATCATGGGAGAGGATAGAGACAGAAACAGACGCAGCTACAAACACAGACTCCCAGATAGAACAACATTGTAGTGATGAAAGATATGGGCTCACCCCCTCCTGCACTCTACAGATTCTAGATATCCAATAGTACTGGGTGTAGTACTAAGACTGTATAAAATGTATTTTCAATACCATTTGCTTAAGTAGATGGTATAGTATGAGTGTAAGTGTATTTACTTGTTCAATCATGAGAAACATATCCCATATCCCTTTGGTTAGATTGGGTTCATACAGTATGTGGGTTCATATTATCCAATGTACAGTACAGTGAGTACAGCACATTTTTTGTAAGTGTATGTGATCCCTGCGAGAATTGAACCCACGACCTTGACGTTACCAGCACCACGATCTTACCAACTGGACCACAGTACATGTTTTAAATAAAGACGATAGAGTGTTTTGTTGACCTCCTAGTTGCGTGTGTGCGTGTCGTTACCATTGACAATGGTCCTTCTGGAAATCTCCCAGAGAACCAGGCCCAGGGCCCAAATGTCTGTCTGCTTGTACGACTCAAAGATGTCCATGCGGATGCTCTCGTCCAGAACCTCCGGTGCCATGTAGCGCTTGGTGCCCACCCTGGGGTTGTTCCCCACGTCCAGGTAATCACTGGTCTGAGAATGCATCACAGCCAGGCCTGGAGACGCAACAGGGTCATGATCAGTAGGGAGAAAACATTTTTAAACAGAGTGAAACAGGGAGGTCATACCTGAATTTGTACAATAATAACACAGATTTTTCTAACATGTTTTTTCTACAGTGTGCCATACGGAACACAACCCAGGAACACAGGAAAAAGTAATGAATGCTGTCTATGTGGTCTCTCCAGGCGTATCATAAACAGGCAGCAGCAATTCAGAGAATGGACTTTGCCCCCCTCCTTTCTCTGTCCATTCCTAGCACCCTAGCGCTCTCTCCTTCTGCTCTCATTCCTTCATCCCTTTCCTCCCCTCCCACCTCCTGTTCTTACCCAGGTCGGCGATGCAGCACTGTCCGTTCCTCTTGACGAGGATGTTTCGGCTCTTCAGGTCTCGGTGGGCGATAGCGGGCTTGCCCTGGCAGCTGAGGATCTCCGTGTGGAGGTGGACCAAGCCGCAGGCTACAGACAGGCACATCCTTAGGCAGCCCTCTGTGTCCAGGCTGCTGTACTGGAGGAAGTCATAGAGACTACCCAGCTCATGGAAGTGGGTGATCAGCCACAGCTGGGTGCTGGAGTTCTTAGACGTCATGTCAGATGCTATGAAGCCTGGGGGAGCATGTTAACTATGAGATATTGTATTAGTGTTGGTAGGAATTGAGTGATACAGTAGACCATGGTTTCACCAACTGGCTGGGTGGTTTTATTATACTTAGTTTTTCATGGTTGGACATGAAAGACTGTAAAAACATCAGGAAATCCGCTCCAAGTTATTTTAATTTTGTAAATCTGTTCCCAAGTATTCTCACACATAATAGAGATACGTGATTATATATAAATGTAAGGAAGGTTTGAAATGATTGTTTTAGGCTGTTCTGTTTGGGCTTATTGTGGTCAATTTGCAGTCGACTAATTATTTGTAATTATGTTCCGGCTCCTGACCATCCGCTCGAGAAAAAATCGCACGCGGCTGATTAACTCTTGATAAGTGCGCATTGGGTTAGCGCAGTGCATTTTTCCAGTCACAATATATAAAGAAATACATTAATTGTACTTGATACACATATCTGTATACTCCAGCTTAGTGCAAGCAATTAGTCCAGTCCAAAACCATAGTATCATGAGACAACCGTTTTTGTCTTGTTGTACAACATGGATTATAGGTTATGTCGACTCACCCAGGATGTTGTCGTGTCTGAGCTGTACAGTGTTGTAGATCTCTGTCTCTCTGAACCATGACTGTTCGTCTCTAGAGGAGAAGATCTTCACTGCAACACTCTCTCCCATCCAGGTGCCCCTCCACACCTCTCCATACCTGCCCTTACCTGGGGATAGAGGGACAGAGCACAGACACACACAAAGTTCTCATCAGACATAATAACAGCTATGGAGAGGATTGGCGTATTGATCTGTTCACATTAGTATAGCCTCGCCTCCAGCCATTGTGTCTGGCAACGCAAGGCTAGTAGGCCTTGAGATGACCCTGTTTTTTAGAAGGTCCATGAGACACTGGTAAATGAGTGAGTGAGTTCACAGGGTCTGTATAGCACCGCAGCTATGGATGAATGAGAGACTGACAGAGAGAGTCAGACTGATAGAAAAGGAGGGAGTGAATAAGTGGAGGGGATGTCTCACCGACACACTCGACCAGAGAGATCTGCCGAGCCATGGTCCTCTGTACCAGGTATGGCAGGCCAGTCCCACTGCCTGAGGTACAGAACTCATCAAAGATTTCCTACACAGAGTCACACATGTCAAGGATCACAGCCATCCGGCACTGGTTTTCATATTGCAATTTCATTATATAAATAACAATATTCTTGCTAAAGTGCCTGTGAGCTTGGTAGTGATTCTATGACACAATTTCCTCCTGTGCAATTCAATTTCATGAAATTCCATTCTTACCCCGTAGGTAGGGTCTGCCCCACTGGGCACCTTGAGCATGGAGACGTCACGGTCCTCTCTGTAGCCCAGCCTGTGGTGCTGTCGTCTGGAGCGTAGCCACAGCACCAGGCCACACACAGCCACGGACAGGATCAGCAACACCAGCAGAGGGACTGCCACCAGCAGAATCACACTGTCCTCCTCACTTGGAGGCTCAACTAATGGACAGTGGACACACACAGTCATACAGGTAAGAGGGAATAGCAGTACAAAGACAGACTTTGATTTAAGCTGACCACAGGGGTATTCAAACTGGTCAGGACCTCCAACCAGATATGATAGAGATGATGTTACTCCAGAAAAGTTGATGTAGTATAAAAAGCAAGTTGGTCATATTGATTAAACATGCCTGTTGACATACAGTATCTTATTATTATACAACGGGTGGGTCTAATCCTGAATGCTAATTGGTTAAAACCGCATTCCAGCCGGTGTCTATTCCACCAGCTAAATCTATGACGTTTCTACTCCTTTCCATCTGACTGCGCAATCCACTGTCTCATCAGCCCAGCCAAGCAATTTATAAACTTGATCTCCACTATAAAATGCATCTAGACATGATCTCATTCCTTTTAGACTAACATTTAGTTTTCAACAGCAGAGATTTGTATACACCTTGCTGTCTGTCTCTCTGACATTCAATATTCAAATTCAATCTCCAGCTGTCCCATAGTAATGAAGGTGTTGGGGTTGGGACAAGACAGACAGGCAGCGTTTCAGCCAGTCGAAATCATGAATCAGCTGGCATTATTTTTATGGATATATACAAAGAAATGTCAATTGAAAAAAGGTCAAACGGAACGAAGTGCAGCTAGTTTGCAGTCTTTCCAGCTTCAGTTTGAAGTGATTGTGTTAGCTGTGTTGTTGGCTAGCTCCTCTGAACAACAGTGTCTTGACGAGTGAGCACATTCTCTATGCCAGGCGTAATTGCGCCCATTGTTATGGATGAAGCCAAATAAATGTCACTAGAAAACAGCTTAAACAAATGCAAATGCAGCTACTTTTCTGTTATTCTGGTTGCACTTTTTGATGTGACTAAGTTAGCCGTAGTTGTCTAGCTAGCAAGCAAGGGATTAGAATGTTGCCAGCCAGTATTGCAATGGAACATTTAGAACGAACGACTGGGTCGCGTCCATAGATACAGAACAAAAAGACAACGACTGGGTCGCGTCTCTGGCAACCGAAACGTTAGAACGAACTACCAGCCAGCTTGGGTAGCAACCCTAGATTTGTGTCGGGACTATATCTTGTGGAAGGATGAAATAGTATAAATAAATTCATCAAAATAACGTTTTTAATGAAAATATGTCAATCATTATTTGAATACGTTGGTAATCCCTTGTATAAAAGTGATAATACACCAGTGCCAATATATCCTCCAAACACCTTCTTCTTCTTCTTCTTCTTCTTCGATGAGGTTTAACGGCGGTTGGCATCCAATTTGTTGCATTACCACCACCTACTAGACTTGCTTGAAAAATTAAATAAAGAATTCCCTACCATCTAACACTACACTCACAAATTCAAAAATATTATTAATAATTAACACCACCCTACTCCACTATTTAAATATATTCATTCCTACCTCATGCCCTCAACCTGAAATGATGGGACATCACCACTTAACACTCCCTGTAACTCTTCTGAGTCTCGCACACCCAAATACCTCTCTGCAGCTGCCACCACAACCTCAATTTTCTTCTACTTACGTTCCATCCCTACAGTACAATGAATAACCATTGCTATAAATGCTAAAAATCCAATCTTACTGAAACATATATCACTTGTTGGCCTATCCCTCTGTACTGGTACATATCTACTACTCTCACCACTCTTCCCCCTTTGAACCATCTTCCTCTACTTTCTTCACTGCCTCAGCATATGACAACTTCTTCACTACTCTTACCCTGGAAACCTCAACCTGCCTCTCTCGCACGGGACATTTCTGATCCCCAGCCCCATGGGCACCCCTACAATTAGCACATACCACTACTTTCCCCAATGCTACACATTCCTTTGTCTCATGCCCTTCTGCACACTTCTCACACCTTGGAACCTCCCTCCTACACACTGCTGCCACATGCCCATAAGTTTGACACCTGTAACATCGTAATATATTCGGCACATAAGCTCGTACAGGATAACTTATATATCCTAACTTCACTTTGTCAGGCAAAGACTCAACTTCAAAACTCAAAAGAACAGACAATGACTCTTCTGTTTCCCCACTCTCGCCACCCTGTTTGCGTCGCACCAAACGACGAGCATCACAAACACCAGAAATCTTCCCCTTCAGTTGGTCAACTTTTACATTTACTGCTACCCCAGTAATTACTCCTTTAATGGCGCCCTTTTTCCAAACACTGGCTTCTCGGGCATTATCACTTAATTAACACATGGCATTACCCCTGTCAGCCACCAGGGGGACATCAGACACTGAGTTTCCATTAGAAGCCTGTATGACTGAGGTCTGAATCCTTACCTGATTAGAGGGGAAGGATGAAAATCAGCGAACCTCAAGGCCCAGATATGATAGGGGGTTCTAGACTGTTTGAAAGGAGGTTCTAGAGAAGTTGCAGTGCTCTAACCTGGGTCTGGGGGAGCGGTGCTGTTGACGTTACAAAAGTTATTGGAGCAGCAGTGGACGTACAGTCCCTGGAAGTTGGTGTAGCACTGTTCCTTGTGGTGGTCCCTCTGGAAACAGCCCTTCTCCTCTCTGCCATGCACCTTGGTGTAGAAGCAGTAGTCACCCCTGCAGGTGCCGTTCAAACATGTCCCCTTCTTGTTTTCACATGTACACAGCAGGTTGGTGCTGTCATCAGGGCCTGGAGAGAGGGAACCAGTGAGTGTGTGAGCTGTGTACGTATATACACAAACACACAGACACACACAGACTTCAGCCGACATGGACTGTTCTCTACACTACTGTCTAGCAAACGCTACCGGAGCATCAAGTCACGGACCAAAAGGCTCCGAGATAGCTTCTATCTCCAAGCAATAAGATTGTTGAACAGCTAACCGATGGCTGCTCACCCTCATCCACGAACTATCTGCACTGACTCTTTGCACACTCTCAGGTCTACACACATACACACGCACATACATACTGACGCCACATATGCTCGCACACACACATTTATTTTTATATATCCTGCTACCCAGTCCCTTTTTATCCCCTGCCTACATGTACATATTACCTCAACTTCCACCGTATCTCTGCACATTGATATGGTACTGGTACTAGCCTTGTATATACAGTAGCTTGCATTTTTGTGTTTTATTTCTTGTGTTTAAATGTTTATCTGACCTAGTTTTGTTTCCGTGCTTTTTTAAAGATCCTATTCTGGAGTATCTAATTCGTACCTCTGACATTGAACTCTGCATTGTTGAGGAAGACCTTGTAAGTAAGCGTTTAGCTGGATGGTTTGCACCTGTTGTATTCTGTCATGTGACAAATTTACTTGGATTTGATTGGACACACACAATCTCTCTCTATAGTGCCTTTTTCCATCACAGCACCAGTGTGTCGCCAGTGATTATGTTAACGTAAGTGCTAGTGTTATTTTTTGCCAACTTTGTTTCCATCAGGAGTGTGACACTGAGGACTTATAACACAGAAACAAGCTTACCATCTGATGGTGATCCCAAAGATGACCGATCTGCAAAATATAAAAGACAGCGGTGAGAGAAAGGGCAGGTCTGGTGGGCCTATCTTGGGCTGTATAGAGAATAGAGGCCTCAGTGGAGACCAGAGAGGTGAGGAAGTGGTCACTGAGGGACTGAAGGGTTTCTCTCTCTCTCTCTCGCTTTCTCCCTGAGGCCTACAGGTCAGGGGCCGCAGCAGCAGCACTCACCCAGGCACAGCAGGAAGACACAGACTTCCTCTGCTCTATTGTTTCACTACCGTACGACAACGAGCACTTCTCATCTACACACGCATCTGCACCTAGCTGATTCCCCAGCAGCAACTCACTCGCTCACACTCAGATACACACAAACGCAGGCACAAACACAAAGATATACAACACACATACACACTGGTGATTACGTAAGCTAGCGCACTCAAAGATACACACAGCCACGGACACGCACAGCCACATTCTTTATTGACCTACCTGCATGAGCTGTGGAGGTCCACAGGCACATCCCAGCCAGCAGCACTGTGAGCATGGCAGCACCCCCCATCTCTGTCAGAGAGACAATACAACAATTAGAGGTGCAGCGATTATGCTTTGTTACAGTATATTGGTCTTTAGGCACTCGATGCAAGAATATGGGACACGCAGTTCTCTCTCTGACACTGTTTCCCACCGGGGGGCCAGTATGAAAAAAAAAATTTATGCACTCACTAACTGTAAGTCGCTCTGGATAAGAGCGTCTGCTAAATGACTAAAAATGTAAATGTAAAATGTTTTATATACTCCTATGCAGCTTAACAATCAATGTCAACTTCTAAGTTTCCTCTCATTTTCCCTCTCCTGCTCTCTCTCCTCTCTCTCTCGATCTCTCTCTCTCTTGGCTCCTACCAATCTGTCCTCCCACTCTCTCTCTCTCTCTGAGTATGACAACCTAGGCCCGGTTGCTGTGGCTGAGCTGACTGGGCATCTCTGCAATTAAAATACCAAATGGAAACAGCTGCAGCAAGATCGACACAGCTCCAGCCCAGCAAACATTCCTACAACATTGGGTAACGTCCCAATGGAGTCCACGATTTGGTTTCCAGCTAACATTAGCATGACAACATCAGCCCCAGCTGCAGTTTGGAGCCACACAGCCCTAGTGATTCCCACTGACTCCCAGTCTGTCAGCAGAGGAAGTTATGAGGTCAAAAACAACAACAGAGAGAGCGCCAGGCCCAGGGTCCAGTCAGTCTGCCTGCTCTGTAATTGAAGTGGGTGGTGGGTGGGATAGAAGAGAGGGCTTAGTCAGGGAAAGGCAGCACTCTGCACTGCCTGGCCCTATGTGTTTGTGTGTCAAACCCCTGTGGGTGTGTATGTGAGTGTGTGTATGTGTGTTTGTGTGTACTGTGTAGCTAGCTAACTAGGCCCAGACTCATGCCTGTCGGCTCCATGGCTGCCCGGATCACAGTGTAAATATTGATTGCTATGCTTCCTGCCATTGAGAAGCCGCGCCCTGGAGGGAGACTCAGGTCTGCTCATTGTGTGTGTGTGTGTGTGTGTGTGTGTGTGTGTGTACCTGCTCATTGTTTAGGTTTGACTGCTCTGGGTCACGCAAGCTAGAGAGGGTAGAGGCTGGAGGATGGGTTTCTAGGCAATGAGACAGGGTTAGTTTCAGTATTCATTTGGTGTTGTGTGTACTTTATGCTGGTGTACAAACCATGGGTGTGTGGCTACTGATTGGTGGGTATGGCCATCTTTTAGAGTAGTGCTTGTGCCCTGCCATTGCAGCAAAGAAAGAATATTACAGCTCTGTTAAACCAGTTGTTAAGGAGCCAGGCAGGCTTATTGGAACTATAGTGCAGAGTGCACCATTTCATAACCCCCCACCTCCCATAATTAAATTGACACTCATGTAGTTTCACAAGTCATGTACTGCGTGATATCATGGAAAAACATGGGTCATGTTTATGAAACGGCTGAGTAATGAAAACTGCCTACAGGATATTTGGCGGATTGACTTCCAGATATTGCACAAACAATAAACGCTTGAAATGAAATGATACATGCTGCAACTTTCTGTGTTGATTCAGACCACCTACTATCCTCAGGAGAGCTGTGGAGTCAGATAATGTACCACTCAGTGGAGGCTGCTGAGGGGAGGACGGCTCATAATAATGGCTGGAACGGAGTCAATGGAATGGCATCAAACACATGGAACCCACGTGTTTGATGTATTTGATACCATTCCACTGATTCCGCTCCAGCCATTACCATGAGCCCTTCCTCCCCAATTAAGGTACCACCAACCTCCTGTGGTGCCACTCAATGATGTATAAACACAACACACTGGAATGTATGTCTATGATAACACAACACAACCAGACAGAGTTTGTGAAATCATCTTCTTATTTTGTTGATGGCTGCTTGGGCTCCGAAGCAAAGTAATTAAGTCGAATCATCATACCAAAAGAACAGATTTAATATGTCCATGTGATTATAATGACAAACACTTTTCAATGCCACAACAGGCTACAACTTTGCAAAACCAGCTTAAATCTTTAAACAGACATCTTTACCACTCTGCTTTTTTGCACAAATTGTGTGGCTCCAGCTCAACTCAAGCATCGTTATATGAGAAGAATCCATTGATGTCAGTTCTAGAACACCACAGTGTTCCGGTTTGGCAATGAGGAACAATGCCGCGAGACCACAATCAGGGTTCTAAGCTCAGCAGCTGTACCACGTACCACATCTCCAAGCCAAACCATGGTGCATTATTACACACTGACACTGACTAGCAGAGGGAGGATACAATTTCCTGCATCATGCATCCCTTGAGAAAGGCCCTGCAGCTGAAACTTCAACTGAATAAAAACGGCTAAAGTAAGCAAGATAAACTTTTTTTGCGCATGCGTGCACCCTATTTTTCACTGTATCATGTAGCAGTCTACATATCCGCAGTGTTTTAATATGGGCCCTTAGGAAGACAAACATTCGGTAAACACAGCTCCACCCATTGAATTGGCTTATTCTCTACGGAGGAGCACTAACCCTACTGTCTGTCTCTGATTCCCCCTCTAGTCCAGATCTACCATAAGATCCGGGTAGAGATGAGCAATCTGCCTCAGCCATCGCAGACAGGCAGAGGCAGGCCAGTCACACACACAGCACACTTCCTTTCTCTGTTTTCCCCTGTTTGTCTCCACTCTGTCCACAACACCACGGCGGTCACACAGACCCGTGGGAAAACACAGCCATTGTCATCTCTTCCTCTCATCTTAAAAGCTTTGACTTCTCAGTCCCATCTCCAGTTCCATCTGGATTACATAGATGTTGTGGTGGTTGGGGGAAGGGAAGGAAAGGCAACCCAGCTAGCACATAACGTTCTGAGAACCATATGTTTCTTAGTGCTTGGTGGTACCGAACTGTCTGTTCAAGCAGTTGGCACACAGTTCGGACACTCATCGGTAAAACACAAGACATGCAACCAGAGGTCTCTTCACAGTCCCCAGGTCCAGAACGCAGGCTAGGAAACGCACAGTATTAAATAGAGCCATGACTACATGGAGCTCTCTGCCACCCCAGGTAACTCAAGTTAGCAATAAAACCAGATTCAAAAACCAGATAAAAGAACACCTTACGTCACAACGGGGGACTGTGAAGAGACACAGCCATTTTTATATATTTTGTATTGTATTATGCATCGTATTATGTAGGTGGGTGGGCTTGCATGAGCCTTGGCTTGTGCGAGCCGGAACGGCTCATAGGGCAGGAGCCGTCTCCTGTTTCTTAAGCGTGAGGCAGAGGCAGGACTTTATGTAGTGTTATGTATATTATGTTTATTATGTATATTATACTATGTATATTATGTATTTTATTTGTTGTTTTGTTTCCTGTTTGGAACCCAGGAAGAGTAGCCACTGCCTTGGCAGCGGCTAATTGGGGATCCCAATAAATACTTTTTTGCATTCAACCTTCCCACAACGTTCTGGGAATGGTGCAAGAGTTGCTTGGCTTTGGAACATTCTCAGCACATTTAAAGAACTTGACAAAATAACATTATTTTCTTGGTATTACATTACATCATTTAAAAACATATTAATTCTGTTCTCAGCGTCAACAAAGCTCTCTCTATCCTCTATCTTGTTAAGTATGTTCAGGTGTGTTGCCTTGCCCACTAATTGGCCACACCTGATTTTAATGAGTGCTTGTTTCCTTTGAAATGGGGTCTGTTTGAATAGACTAAAATGAACAGCTTTGTATGAGTTGGTGGCACAGTGGACTAATTCCATGGATAGAAAACAGAACACCATCGGTTTGAATCTCACTGATGCCATGCCACACATGCATTTCCATGTGTCCTATCTGTACTTGGAGTTCAAAACAGTTAACTTAAGCTAGCAGTGTTATTAAAAGTCGAAACATTCAGTGAATGTTTTAAGGAAGTTATTCAAAAACGTCCAAATAACCTCAACATTTCGTTCAAAACATTCACAACTTTTAGAGAATGTTCTCAGAACGTTATTTAATTACCTTCAAATAACCTATAATTTCCGTTCTCAGAACATTAATAAAACTCTCCCAGGAAAACTTTCAGGGAACCATAGTAAAACTCAGAAAGTTTAAAAAACGTTCAGTTTTACAGGTCAGGAAACCTATGGCTTCGTTCCCAGTACCAATGGGAAACCAAAAACGTTCGTTCCCACAACTTCCAAGGAGCCAAATGTGCTAGCTGGGAAGCCACCAGTAGAAGAGGCAACAGCAAACTGACTCCAACCTCCTGCAATGTGCCTCTATCTGCCTACCACAACTGAAGGAACTCTTCTACAACTCTTCTACTCATCTACAACTCTTCTACTCTTCTACATGGATAAAAGTGTCCGCTAAATGGCATATAGACAATATATACAAGTCATAAGGAATACCTGGGATAGGATAAAGTAATCCTTCTACCACCCCCTCCCAAAAAAAACATTGTAAAGTGGTTATCCCACTGGCTATAAGGTGAATGCACCTATTTGTAAGTCGCTCTGGATAA